CATCCAAGATGTAGGTGACTTTGTTTCTTCAGTAGAACACATATGATGATTTTTAACTTTATTCGTTGTAGTCTATCAGTCGTATAATGCATGGCAATGGTAACAAAATCTATGAGAGTAAAAAAACCATGCACAGACAAATCCAAATTAAACCCTGCGGCTCGTGACGACACATTGATGTCCTAAGACACGAAACGATCGGTTTGTGCCAGAAACCGAACAGTATTTATATAATTTTTTACCTCTAATACACCACTATGTCCAACTGTCTTTGGGGCGCGTGCACGTGAGGTGTGCTCCGGCGTAGTTTCCGTTAATGGGTGTGTTGATATCCAGCCGAAGAGCAATCAACCATAACTTCAGGCGACCAGGCTCAGAAGTTCGGAATGCGTGGAAAGTTACCACTCCCGAATGAGTTCGCGTGAGAGAACGTAATCTTTTAGTTTTAAGTCGGTTTGAACAATCCGGATAAGCGCAAGTAAGTACCATTTTGATTAGCCGTCATACCTACAATGACTGTGCACTGTGTAAACAATGAGTGACGTATACGCGCGAGAGATCACTTCCGGCGCTTGCGTAAACTACGCCAGAGCGCGTACACTCCTCACGCACCGGATGCCTGCGCGCGCTCAAAGACAGTTGGACATAGTGGTGTATTAGAGGTAAAAAATTATATAAATACTGTTCGGTTTCTGGCACAAACCGATCGTTTCGTGTCTTAGGACATCAATGTGTCGTCACGAGCCACAGGGTTTAATTTGGATTTGTCTGTGCATGTTTTTTTTTTACTCTCATAGATTTTGTTACCATTGCAATGCATTATACGACTGATAGACTGCAACGGTTAAAGTAAAAAAATCATCATATGTGTTCTACTGAAGAAACAAAGTCACCTACATCTTGGATGCCCTGGGGGTAAGCAGATAAACATAACATTTTCATTTTTGGGTGAACTATCCCTTTAAGCAACACTTAACACTTTATGGACCCTAATGGGGGCTAGTGGCATAGAAATGAATGGAAGTGTGTTTGTTGGGTGATAAGTGACAACCTTAGTGTTATGGAAAATTACTTGATCTGAGACATCAATAAAGTTTAAGTGTATACTGAATGTGAAATTAACTGCTGTGCCTAGCTTAAAACTGGTTAGGAGAACTGTGTGAAGAGTTTTGAAAAAGTGACCTAATTATTGAAAAATGGGTCCTAGTGATTGTAAAAAAAAACTTTAGTAGAAGCTTCATGCTTTTACACAATTCCATGTTTGTCAAGTTTAGGAGATCTTTGGGATTGTGTCCAATAGAAGCACTTAAAGATATATTTTATCACAGGTACCTGGGTAAATAAAGGTTTAGGCACTGTTCAGATGGAGACAAACGGTTTAGTCTGGAATTACGTAGCACCTCAACTTGGTAATTGGATTGCTGCACCACCACCATCGTCAGGTAGGAATCAGTCGTATGTAAGATCTCACTCATCAGCGCATTTCACTTACTTTAACACTGAAATCCATATCTTCTTATGGTCATGTGCAGCTCTCTAACCAGATATATTTTTGTGTAAATCTAGGTTATATGGGGCTCGCAAGCTCAATGGATTTCATTTCCTACCACACATACCTTCTTGTGGGTATCTTGGGAGGAACTCTTGTGATAGCCATTGGATTTTTATCTGTGATTGCATTTCACTGCAGGTAAGAACTTATTCAGCTATGCAAACATCATTGTAAGACTTTCTTATTAAACGCCAATGAGCAACACTGAATTGTGTGACTTGAATATTTAATCTTAACCTTATTTTCATGTGAATGGCAATTATAAAAATATGTAGCAATAAATATCCTTTCCTATCTTGTTTTACAGAGATTTAAACTATGAGGCTGGAAGAAAGCGATGGAATTCCACCAGGCTCACTGTACTGAAGAAAGACCAGACTACTTCCACCAGCTCTGATGAGGCTCAAGAACTTTTCTTTCATAATGGGGACCGGTCTTTCTCTCTGGCTGCAAGAGGCATCGGCCATGATGCATCAGACTCTCCACGTCACCAAGCCAACTACAACATTTATGTGGAAAATGTTGGCCGGTCAGCGGGCAATCTGTACGAGAATATTGGAGCTGTGGGATTAGAAAGCTTCAGAGCCCCAGTGTCTAATATCTATGTTAATAGTGACGAAGTTGCAAAGCTACGGGAAAAATCTGAACAGAATGGCTCATGCCAGAATGGAGTGGAGAATGTAGTTTTCAGAGACAAGCTGTTCCACATCTATAACCAGTCCGTGGCAATTGTACCAGCCCCAGAGTTGTTCACTTCCCAGGGACAAGCTGACCCATCTGGAAGTAGATCTGCCACTTTCCCACGGAATGGCATGGAGCATGGAGCTCAGACAGAGCGTAACTTAAAAGACAGTTTCACTCAGACATTACCTAAAGTTCCCCAGCAGGACAGCGATGAGCAGCAGGCTCTGGAAGGAGTGCAAGCCGCTGCTGCAAACCCAGGGTTATGGGGCCGCTACAGTCATCTCCTGGAATCTGTATCTGTCCCAGGAACTTTGAACGAAGCAGCCAGAATGGGGCCTTTCCGTGTGGAACTCCAGGGAATATCAGAGCAAACCTTGCTGGATCTCTCCAAGGGTAAGCCGTCCATTCACCCCCCCCGGGCCTGGTTTGTGTCTCTTGATGGTAAACCAGCAGCCCAGGTTCGTCACTCTGTGATTGAGCTTCAGGGAAGACATCGTCCAGGCAGCAGCAATGACACAAGCTTGGACTCTGGAGTGGACATGAACGAGCTGCAGCAGCCTCTGCGGAAAAGCGAGGAACCTTCCAGCTCTAGCATGGCTAAAATAAGTGGAAATCAAGAGCAGGACTTGAGTAGCAGTGAAATTGGGAGTCCCGAGGACATGTCCCTGAGGAACACCCTGGAAGGCAGTAGTGCAGCCATTCCCAACATCCCGGAGGACAGGGATGCAGGGGACACCTCTAGCGAGTCCAAAGCTACCCCTCCACCACGGAGACTGCGGAAGGTTCGAGACAAGAAGCCTGACAAGAAGACATCTCGACACATGAGGGAGGAGAGACCCCAAATGAAACACTAACTGAATAACCTGCGTGTAGCCGTAGCTTTTTTGTGTCTGAAAATGGTTTTGATCAAACTGCCTTATAACATAAACATCAGGAAGAATGAAGAAAACAAAAATGCCTGTCTTACCTGCCGTAGCTCAAAGTTGATTCCTGTGGCTATGCTGTATCCAGCATCTTGTCAGCAGTTCATTTGTACACAATTTCCCAACCACACTGTACAATGATTTTACAAACTACTTTGAAAGAACATATTTGTTTACCTTCCAAAGTACATTGTAAAAGTATAGACACAGTATATATATATATATATATATATATATATATATATAT